CAAGCCATAAAATTAAGCTAAGGGTCATTTTTGGAAAGGCAAATGGTGGGAGGCAGTGGGACCAACCTTGGAAGGAAAGAGGTCAGGGTTTGGATGTGGGGGGCCACAGGCCTGACCTTGGGGCCCAAAGCGTCTGGTTTGGACAGTTGCCGGTAACAAATGTCTTTTTTAGTCTTGTTCTTCTCCATATCTCAGAGTTCCCAAAGTGAACATCTAATTGGCACAGGCTCCATGGAGAAAGGATGTGGCCCTCCAGTCTTGGTAGCTGGAGCCAGACCCCTGGCTCCCAGTCTGTCACACCAAGGGTGCACACAACGAGGCTGAGGGACTTCTGGGAAGGAAGCGGCGGGATGGACGCCTGACTTGGTAGATGCCCATCGCAAGTCTGGATCCACCTGCAGAGAGTGGCATCTCAAGATGAAGGGTCACTGAGGCTGGCAAACTCTCCCAGGCTGGGTGACCCGAGATCCCTGGCCTCCTACCCCTACTTCTGTGGTGCAGGTGCTGGTTTAGCCTTGCTCGGGCTTGGGGTGTGAACCCCCACCCCACAGGAAGGGAATGAAGCCTATGGCAGGCCCCGGGTGGCTGGGGACGGCTCAGATCCCTCCTCCAGCGTCCTGAGGCCACCTCTGGAGTTCCCTGTGGGCTAGTCCCTGGAGACCTTTGAGTTGCCAGGATGTGGTGACAGCCCCGCCTCCTGGCCTGGCCTTGGTCTCCTCCTGTGAGGACTCAAGGATCCCCAGGTCTGTGCAGGCAGAGGCTCAGAGCAGGGCTCTCTGACCCCCTGAGACAGCAGGGGCCTTTACTGAAGGCCTGGGGCCCCCCCACTCCCTGCTGAACAGGTGAGTGGAGGGCAGCAGCCTCGCCTGCTGGAGGGATGAAGGCAGGCCACGGAGAGGAGGCGGGGCCGGGAGGGAGCTGAGTTGGGACAGTGAGGTGTGAGGGGACCCCAGGGAAACTTGCGGACTTCACAGTTTTGCCCAGGAAGGAGGTGGGGGTGGGTCTTCAGTCAGCCCCAGCAGCCCCAGGGATCACCCTGAAAGGGAGGCGCAGCAGGTTTTGTGATGCCAAAGGTGGCCACAGGGACCTAGGGTGTGATCCACGATCTCCCCCACCCCCCACTCCCCCTGAGACCTGCTGGGTCACAGCTGTAGGCAGGCCTCTGAGAGGCCTCTGATGGCCCTCCTGTCCCTGCCCCCAGCAACACAAGGCTCCCACCATCTTCCCCCCCACCCCCCCACCCCGCTCCCCACTTCATACTCAGATAAGTTTGATTCTGGGAGGGACCCCGAGGGACAGCGCCTGGCTGCGTTCTCCAGGAGCACACTGGCAGGAATGGGAGAGGGAGGACTTCACAGGAGGTCCACCGGGGTTCCACCAGCCAGGGTGAGTGGCAAGGTCACAGCTCACCTTGGGACACCTCTCCTGCATCGGCTCTCTGGATCCCAGTGCTGCTAGGCCTGGGCCTGGTAACTGCTCCCCACCGTGGCAGCCTGGGACACAGCTCTCGGTCATTTCTCCCGAGACCGCCTACTCCTTTGTCTCTTGATTAAACTTTCCGCGGATCACTTTCTGATTTCCTGCTAAGGATTCTTACTGGTGTAGGAAGAAGCTCAGGGGGAGTCTCAGAGGAATGAAGGCGGCCAGTTATTCTCAGCCACCATTGCCACCCTGCTGGCCCTCCCGGGACTTTGGATTTCAGGTAAAGGGTGAAAAACTCAATGGACAGTTTAGGTTTCGTTCACTGTAGTGGGGATCAGTGGCAATGGCGTGGGTATTTGGGGACAGCAGCAGCTGCAATGACAGCTCTGCCAACTGCTATAGCCACTCAGACTGTGCATGGGTTACAACCTGCTGTGTGACCGCCCACGGCTCCTGTCCATTTTCTGAGCCTGGTTTTCCATTCCACCCATCAATTCCGTGAACCCCCCAATATCCTTCCAGTGAATTTATTTTGCCTGGTTTAGCTGGATCCATTTCTGTTGCCCGCATCCAAGGAATTGTGACAGATACAGGATTCAAAGGGAGATGAGGCACATTGGGAACCCTCTCAGCAGAAGCTCAGCCTCTCTGCGTCCTTGAAGACAGAAATATAGCAGCTCTGGGAGAAAGACAAGAAATCTGTCCTGATGGTCCTCAGGGCTGCCATTTAGGTCGGGCTGTTTACTGCCCTCGTGATGTTGCTCTAGTCACACCTGAGCCGAGGTGCCCTTTTACCCTCATCCCACTCCCTGAACCCTGAGTTTATACTTCTCAGGAGAATCTGATTGGTTTGGTTTGCCTTCCTCTGCTACTGGTCATCTGCAGTGGGCAGAGCCTCGTGCCAGCCCATGGGGAAGAGTTAGCTTCCTGCTCCTTCAACCCACCCACCGTGTTCTCTGCATGATGTGGCCAAGTAAAGAGTGAGGGAGTGGGTTTCCACCTGGCCTTCTCATCAGGAGGGGTGAATCTCACCCTGCTCCCAAACTTTTTATGCCTGTGCCTTAGTTTGCCACCTCGGCCTGTCTTAGAGTCAGTGTGTGATGGATCCTTCCTTTTGAAGGTAGAAATGTGCAGACTGTGTGGCCCCTCACCCCAGGTCAGCAGCTGCCTCTTGTAGTGGTAGAGAATCTCTCCCTGAATTCAACAGGATATGGATACAGCTTGACAGGACTATAGCCATATTAGTGGGAAGTGCCACGGTTGCCCCCAGACTAATCCTAGTCCTTTTTCCCTACACAGTTCCCAGCAAACCAAAAATAGATAAACCCACTAAAGACATGTGGATGTGAGGCTTCACAACCAGCCCCTGGCTGCTGGGACCTACCTGACTCTTGAATATCATTTTAAGATAAACGTTGCAGCCAGGATGAAGTCATGTTGGTCCTCTCTGGATATGCCCCTCTTTCTGATTAAATTGCAGGGATCCAACTGCCACTCAGGAGCATGCTTCTGTCACTAAGTGCCCCCAATTCATTGCTCTCTGTGTAATCCTGGCTCTTTTCTCAGTCTCAGAGCACCTGTGGCCAGTTGTCACACGCTAGGACTGTGTTGTTCTGGGACAACAGTACTTAAATAAGATCTCCAGCAAGGGGATTAGATCATATTTATATATTATCTTCACACTCTCTGTACCCAATACAATAATTAACATACAGAAGGAGTCCAATAGGTGTTCACTGGATTGAATAGAAAGCACTTATGGATCACCTACTGGTCACAAGAGACCATGCCCGAACAGGAGGGAAGGAGCACTTACGGAACTCCTGATGCATGCCAGGGACTATTCTAGAAACAGTCAAACTCACAACAACCCTATGGGGTAGGCTTTTATATTGTCCCCACTTTACAGATGAGAAACTTGAGGCACAGCCGGGCACACTACTTGCCTGAGTAGTGGAGCTGTGGTTCTAGCCAGGCAGGCTGGCTCTTCCCTGCTCTACCAGACTGAGCACAGTGCTGCCCTTGGCACTGAAACTTCTGAAATTAAACAAGGCATTCCAGTAACAGCCACATCTTTTCTTTTCCTTTTATAAATTGATCTCTCCAACAGACACCCACAATGGTCATGCTCCACCCATCCCCAGGGGAACAGAGCTTCCGGCCAGGGGTCAGGGGTGGTTCAGGGATGCCGTTTAAAGTAGAAAACAAAGAGCTGCAGTGGAATGATCCTGTTTGTCAGGCCCAGTGAAAACACTGTGCACCGGGCCATGGAAAGGTTTGGAAACTAATTTCCCAAAACAGTTATGAAAGAGCAATGGCTGGGTACACGTGTGACTTGGCACCAGGGCTTTCAGACCCAGTCTGAAATAAACACATCACAGCCCTGCCATGCCCCACGGGGTTCACGGTGGCTCAGGCACCAGGCCTCTCCCTCCCTGCCTCGGTGGTGAGCAGCAGAGGAGGCTCCACCTGCCCTCTGAGCCAGGTTTGGTCTCTATGGAGACACCTGCTCCCTGCCTAGTGAGGCCTGGTTCCCAGCCACCAGTGCATGTAGCCAGGTACTGGGGAGTTGCTTCCAATACCAACTGGGGGAGAATTTCCTGGGCTTGAGGTTGGAGAGGAAATGACTGAGGTCATTCTATTTCACCAGGTGATTCCATATAACCATTTCAGTGAGTTGCAACCTTGGGCACTTTTATTACAAGTTCCATCTTAGAACCAAGAAATCAGAAGGGGAGCAGGGGGTGGAGAGTGGGACGCTGAGGTGAGCACAGTAAACCGAGAGGCAGGGGGTAGGGTGTTGTTCAGATGAGTAAAGGCACATACTGTTTCCCCTTCTCCAAAGGGGTGACACACTACCACAGACTGGACTTGTTTCCTGGAGACACCAAGCCCTTCCCTACTCTTAGGCCTTTGCCCAAGCCAAGCTCTCTGGCAAGAAGAGAGACCCCTGGTGTCTGTGCAAGAGGCTGCGTGCACTTCTAGGCACAGCCATTGTTTTTTTTTTTTTTTTGCAAGACTTCCTCTTCCATCATTACCTGTCTCTCCAGCAGTCTAAGCACCATGTTCCTCTCATAGAGAGCGGCATGCCTGTGTATGCAGTTGGTGCCCCATAAGTGGCTATTGAGTTTAGTTTGTGACAGATATAGGCAAAAAGGGGAGCAACCACCAATTGACTATTTCTAGAATATTGTAGGGGAAATCCTCTTCCATAGCTCAGAGGAGAGCCAAGTCCAAAATAGATCGCATGAGCTGGGCCAGCGGTACATGCCTATAATCCTAGTGAATTGGAGGCTGAGGCAGGAGGACCATAGGTTGTAAGACCAGTCTGGATGACTTAGTGAGATCCTGACTCAAAACAGTAAAATAAAATAAAATAAAAAGGGCTGGAGATGAGCATGTAGCTCAGTGGTAGAGCATCCATGGGTTTCATCCTTGGTACTAGGAGGAAAAAAAAAAAATAGTATGCATGCACTTGGACCCGTCCCTGCTATTCCTCCCTCCTGTCTCCTTTAAAGTGCAATCTCCTACAGCCCAATGAGAACCAACTTCCATATCCCCACACACCATGAGGCAGATGAAGTCAAAATAATTTATTGTCAAATTCCATATGCATTTAAATGAAATGAGATATTTTATGTAAATGGGTGAGAAGTGTAAAAAACAAACAAAAATCCAGGTTTTCACAGGTCACTCTATGCACACGTGGACACGAGACTCTCCCCACCTCAGGCGCAGCAGCTGCACTTGTCCACTGCCCCTTTGCAGATGCATCCCTGGGCACACTTGGCACAGCCCACGGGGCAGCAGGAGCAGCAGCCTGGGGAGCAAAGGGGAGAATGAGAGGTCAGAGCAGACTTAGCCCCACGGTAGGCCCCGCTCCAGCTCTGCCCCCAGCCCACAGGACCCTTAGTTCAGGACCACATGACAGAGAGCCCGGAAAGGCAGGGCATGGGTCTCTGGGGGTAAAGGAAGGCCAAGTCTCCCAAACTCTACAATGAAATGAGAACACTCAAGACAGGGCAAACCCCTGCCAAAGCAGCTCTGGCGAGGGCCAGGGAAGCACTGGGATGACTACAGGAAAACCCTGACCCAGCAGGTCAGAAACCCCAAGATCCTGTGCGCTGAGTACATCAGGACCTGGGTATATGGAGAAAGCTGCTTCAAGAAGCAAGACCTACGTTCAGGATCTGACTCAGACCCTGACACAAGTAGGTGACCTCTCTAGGCCTCAGGATCACAGTTCTGTAATAAGAGGTTGGGACTCTCCCTTCTCTTTTAGCCCTCTGTTTCTGAATCAGGTGCTGAGGGACAGGGATGAAGACGCTCATTGGCCCCCTCCTGCCTGCTGAGCTCTGAGTGGCTCCTCTGACTCAGGCAGCCCAGCTTCCCAAGGAAGAGCCCCCACTCACTCTTCTTGCAGGAGGTGCACCTGCACTCTTTGCATTTGCAGGAGCCGGAACACGTGCAGGAGTCACCTGGAAGGAGAGAGGCAGTGAGCCAGGAGATGCAGCAGTGCTTGCCATTAACCTCCAGAGATGCTTCTCCATCCAGCAGGGCCAGTCCCAAGAGCTCCTTTCCAGCTCAAGCGGGAGGCAGAGAAGCAGGGTCTTTCTTCCCTTCCCTTCCAGGAAGGGGAAGTGCTACCTCCTGCTTTTACCTCACAAAGAAGTTCCCAGACTCCAGCCCAGGATAACCAGGACTGGAGGCCAAGACCTTATTATCTCCTGAGTTCCAAAGAAGCAACCTCCTCTGCCTTCAATCACCCTAACTACTTCAAGGCCTGGAGCCAGAAGCCACCCTGACCAGTTGAGTGACATCAGGAGGACAGCATTGAGTCTCAGTGCCCTGAACTCCTTCCCACGTGCAGGCAAGGGGAAGATAGAAGTATTGTCAGGAGCTCAGTGAAAAAGGAACACAGAGAGCAAATGAAGAATCCATTTAGCTCAGAACTCAAAATGTGACCCTGCCAGGCGCGATGGCGCCCCGTAATCCCAGCGGCTCGGGAGGCTGAGGCAGGAGGATCGCGAGTTCAAAGCCAGCCTCAGCAACAACGAGACGCTAAACTACTCAGTGAGACCCTATTTCTAAATATAATACAAAACAGGGCTGGGGATGTGTCTCAGTGGTTGAGTGCCCTTGAGTTTCATCCCCGGTATCCCCCTTCCCCCAAAAAAGTGACTTCCTAAAACCTAGGGACACTTTATCCTGTAGTTCAGAATCAAGTCAGGGACCCTTACCAGTGGCGCAGGAGCAGTTGGGATCCATCTCCGACTGAAGCTGGCGACCCGAAGCAACAGGTGCAAACGAAGGAGCGCTGCAGAAGTCCAAACCCGGCTTGCTCCTTTTATAGCAGGCGCAGGGGGCCGGGCGCAGGGGGTCGGGCGCAGGGGGCCGGGCGCAGGGGCCCGCCCCGCCTTTGCAAGCGCGCGGGTGAGTCGGTGTCGCCTGCCGTCTCCGAGCTGAGCTCACTTCGAGGGCCGGGCGCACAATCCCCGCCCCTTCCCCGCCCCCGCCAGGCTCAGGGGTGCGCACGGCAGAAGCTGTCCCTTTGACCCCCTTGGAAGGCTGGGTGCGGCCCCGCACGATGTCCCTGCTGCTCCGCTGCCCCTTACCAGTTCCCGCAAGTTTGCTGGTCACCTTCGCCCCCGATCGTTCCAGGAAACCGGCAGTGGCCGTCCCCCACCCGCAGCCCTGAACCACGGAGTCATCTTAGCCTTCCCAGAGGAGTGTGTATGCAGTGCCAACCTCGTGCCTACATTTCCGCATCTCTAAGACCCGGAGAGCAGTCGGGGAGTTGTGCGCATAAACTACACGTGTCACCTTTGCCTACCTTGAACTGTCTGTCCCAGTCCCCACTGCAGTCCTTTGTCACAGCAGGTAAGACTGGAGGACTGGGTCAGAGACATATGCATAAGTGGTTGATGAGAATAACAGAGGACACAGGGCAACACCAGGCTGGCTTAAAGATGATGAAAGACTGCCTAATACCCTACCACCCTCATCATGTGCCTGGCACCATTCTAAGTTCTTTGCATGTATCCACTCCTTTGCTCACACAAGCCCAAGTCTATTATGCCCATTATACAGTGGAGGAGACCGAGCCCAGAGAGGCTGCATCATGAAGGGACACTGGTGAGATTTGCATTCAGCCAGGCTGACTGCAACATCCTGCCTTGCCCTTCACCCTAGGTCACCCTATCCTATGGAAGTCTGGAACACTCAAATCTGGTATAGAGGCACCAGCTAGAAGACCACTGAGCTGGCAGTCAGATGCCCCTGCAGAGATCTGAGACCTCTCTACCCTTCGTGTACCTTCTCTCAAATCAGAGGCACAATTGGACTTGCCACCTGATGGCCCTTCCAGCTCAAAACTGAGAGGCAGAGTGGGGCATCCAGTGACATCCTGTTGTGCCAGCTGTGTCCAAGGCGTAAGGACAGCTATATCGCTAATTCATTCACATCTTTACTGCTGAACTTATGGGACCTTGAGCAGGTGGTCTACTACTATGAAAGACAGGACAATCTTGACAAACCTTCCGGTTCATTGTCTCACTGGTTCCTATGAACAGGACCTCAGTCCTTCCTAGAGAACACCACCACACCCTCAGAAGGTAGACTCCAGTTTCACCCCTGCATACAGAGACACGAAGTAGTTCATCAGGAGCTCACATATGTTATATTGCTAGAAAAATGCTAAGCTGTTCCCTCCAGGTCCCTAGACACAAAGCTGAAGGCTGGGATTGAAAGAGGAGCAAGCCTAGCACAGTGGTACACCCCTGTAATCCCTGAGGCTCAGGAAGTTGAGGCAGGAGGATGGCAAATTAAAAGCCAGTCTCAGCAATTTAGTGAGTCCATAAGCAACTTATCAGGACCCTATCTCCAAAAGAAAAGAGTGGGAGGGTCTGAGGACTACTTTAGCTCAGTGCATAGATGATTCCTGAGAACAACGTAGCACCCCTGGGATGAATGATCCCCAGTACCAGAAAAAAAAAAAAAAAAGAAAGAGGAGCAAATTCATCCTGACTTTGGTAGGAACATCCAAAGACTCACTGCCAAATGAAAACAGGGTAGCCAGGAGGCTGAGGTAGGAGGATCACCAGTTCAAAGCCAGCCTCAGCATTTTAGAGAGGCCCTAAGCAACTCAGCAAGACTCTGTGTCTAAATAAAATATTAAAGAGGGCTGGGATGTGGCTCAGTAGTTAAGCAACCCTGGGTTCAATCCCTAGGACCCAAGAAAACAGGGTATGCTGAGGAATCAGTGAGTGTCCTGTCAGTAGATCTGGGTGAAGTAAGATTGAGGTTTCCTAGTAAAAATATCTTGACCAGTGCAGCTAGGTCACAGGAGGCCACACACTGGGGACAGTCTGCACACTGTTTCCAGTCTGCAATGCATATTGCCAATGAACATATGTGCAAAGTGTGTAGATTGTTAGTTTGTTAGTTTTTTCCCCCCTCTTCATGCATTTATTGAAATTTTCCTGTTGAATCTAAAAAATGGGTTTGTGCATTTTGTTCTTGGATTTAATTTTCTCTAGAATTAATTTTCTAGAGAAAAAGAAAAAAATTTGTTTTTCTAGGGAAAATAAAATAAAAATTGTTTCTTCACCATGGGGTTTGAGTACCCCTGAGGACAAAAAGAACTGGGAAGTTGGAGTTCATACCCTAAAGTCACTTTCTTCTTTTTTAAAAAAATATCACTATTTATTATTTATTTATTTTTATGTGGTGCTGAGGATTGAACCCAGCGCCTCACACTGGTGAGGCAAGCACTCTACCACTGAGCTACAGCCTCACCCCCCTAAAGTCACTTTCAAGCCTAAAAATCCAATGAGGAAGGGAAGTTGGTCCAGGAAATCAGACAATTAAAAAAAAAATCAAGAAGTTTCCATGCCTTCAACACTTCACATGAGAATGAAGTATCCCCCTCACAATCGCCCACACAGACTCATCAAATGGATTTGGCCCAAGACTTTTCTATGAAGCTCAGTAGCCTTACTCTGTTTGCAGGAACACAGTATTTACAGGCTAATAATTCCAAGGCTCTGCAGTTAGAATTCACTCCCCTGCCTCAGTTCCTTATAATCATAGCACACAAAGAAAACCAGAGTCAAAAATCAAGTAAACACATTTTATTATCATTCACATGCTTTGTAGAAAAAGGGATGATTTAAACAGGTCTGGATACAAGGATAGGAAATCCAGGTTTGCCCACAGGGCTCTATGTACACATGGGAGCAGGGTTCACTCCACCTCAGGCGCAGCAGCTGCACTTGTCTGATGCTCCTTTGCAGACACACCCCTGGGCACACTTGGCACAGCCCACAGGGCAGCAGGAGCAGCAGCCTGGGGAAAAATACGAAGAGAGGTCAGAACAGACTTAGCGCACAGCAGCTCCTCCCCAGCCCACGTTATTATAAGAGCTCAGCTCCATTCTGGGACAATAAGAAACAACTTTGGGGTTTGTATCCCCATAGAAAAGGCTGCTCTGCCTCATCTGAGCTCAGTCTGGAGAGGAAGTGGAATGACCTCTGGAGGCAAAGGAAGACCTGTTCCCCAGAGGCTTACACAGGAGCCAGCTCTGGGTTCCCTCCCAGCCTCAGCCAGCCCAGCTTCCCAGGGAAGTCCCCAAACTCACTCTTCTTGCAGGAGGTGCATTTGCACTCTTTGCATGTGCAAGAGCCGGCACAGGTGCAGGAGTCACCTGTAAAGGATTAAAGACAGGCAGGGAGTTATGAGTGTGATGCTGGAGACCCAGCAGAGGGATGTCACTGACATCCTGCACCCGTGGCCACGCTGACCCAGCCCTGGCAGCTCCTGTCCCACAGAGAATCGCTGAAGTGTCATTCCATCTTCTCCACACTGCTGCCGGGAAGCACCCCCTGGTGTTTTCTCCCCCGGGAAGGAGCGCCCCTGGTTCCAGACCTAGCTCAGGAAGGTGATAATGGAGCAGGGCGGCTTTGAACCTCCCTGTGGTTACTCTGAAATGGGAGGTCAGCTGTTGCGTGGTAGTGGTGGTGGGGATCCAAAAGGATGTTGATGACACTTAGCCAGAGAGAAAGGAGTGGAAAGTAAAGAGTCTACTTCACTCGGAACGAAGGGTGTGCCCTCCCCAACCAAAGGGGCCAGGCTGAGAAATGGAATTCCGAAGTCCCTGAAAGCCGGGGAGCCTTACCGGTGGCGCAGGAGCAGTTGGGGTCCATTTCGAATGGAAGTGAGTCGAGGTCCCAGCAAAGATCTAGCAGGCGGAGCAGCTGCAGGAAAGCGTGCTGGAGCTTGGGAACCCGCCCTGTTCCCTTTATAGTCGGGGGCGGGCCGGGCGCAAAGGCCCCGCCCCCGCCCTGCACTCGCCCCGCCGAAGCCGCACGGCCCGCTGGCCTTGAGCTAGGCGCACCCCGCGGGCCGGGCGCAGGCGTCCGTGTGCAGCACCCCGCCCCCGTGCTGCCGGCGCCAGAGGGGCTGTGCACTCGGCCCCATGCGGTGTCCCTGCTGCCCCTTCCAACCTTCCTAGAGGATCCCCACCCCCAATGCTCCTGTGAGTTCCTTCCCATTCCTGCAGCCCAGCTCTGGCGCCCTTTCCCTCCGTTTTTTCTTTGATCTCTGTGCAGCCCCAGCCTCGTGCTCACTGACCCAGATCTGCACCAGTCCAGGAGGGGAGCCATGGAAATGTGGGCAGAACACTGACCATCAGTTTGTCATCCATCTCCCCTGTGTCGCCTGTCCCTGTCCCCTTAGTCATTTATGTCATGTTTCTTTTTTGCATAGTCGCGTGGGGACACAAGGGGTTCTTCCTCCCTCCTTCCCTTCTGCACTTCAGAGAAGATGCCTGGGTACTTTTGTCAGGTTTCTGAGCTGCTTAAACTCACCTATAGCTTCCCACAGCCTAACCAGGCCACATACGTGGATGGGGAGTCCCAAAGCCTGGGGTCCCCAAAGGAGAGCCACTTGTTAGGTGATGTGCAGACCCTGAGTTAAGTACAGAAGCCAGGTATCTGCTTACTGTCCTTTTGATATTTATTTCATTATTATTGGGGGGGGAGGTACTGGAAATTGAACTCAGAGGCACTTGACCGCTGAGCCAGATCCCCAGCCCTATTTTGCATTTTATTTAGAGACAGGATCTCACTGAGTTTCTTAGGGCCTCGCTAAATTGCTGACTTTGAACTCAATCCTTCCAGTCTCAGCCTCCTGAGCCACTGGGATTATAGGAGCACACCAATGCACCCGCTATTTTATTTTTGAATCCAGGGGTGTTTGGCCACTGAGCCACATCCCCAGCACTTTTTATTTTTTGTTTTGAGACAGGGTCTCACTAAGTTGCTTAGGGCCTTGCTAAATTGTTGAGGCTGGCTTTGAATTTACAATCCTTTTGTCTCAAAACTCCTGAGTTAATG